GGCGCCCACACCTAGACAGGAGGACGACTAGGGTCCTGAACCAAAGCCTTTGGCTCAAAAGCCTAACCGCAAGGCAGCGGTGTTTGGAGGGAAATGCAAATGCATTACCATTTCTACGGAACAGGTCGCCACATGTTCCAACCCCCAACCCCCCAACCAGTATAGGTAACCCGGATTGCTCCAGTGTATCGGCATAATGCGTTCCGCAAGTGAATAATCATGCAACAGGTTCTTTCACTCAACGCAGCATATGACAGATCAATACCAAGCCCTATGCAAAAACAAACTGGGCTCACCTGATAGTAATGAAGATTAGGGTTGTCCAAAAGTAGCGAAACTATTAATCGCATAAGAACTGCTTGTGTAGCAGACTTATCCTCAGGTGTTATATCGGGCGGAAGTAATGAGTCCAAACGATTAACATCCAACTGCACTTGATGATGACTGGTATGAGACTTCAAAATTTCATCATCTAAATTTAAAAGTTAACGATGGTGTTAAGGACAAAAGGATTCTCAGTACAATAAATCGAAGATACGAGTAAAAATAATTTGATCGAAAAGGCATTGCATGCAAAAATGGAGCCCCAGGGATTTCCAAATGGCGCAAACGAACAACGGCACCTTCTTAGCAGTTAATTCCATACCGCACAAATCCGAGTGGACCTCCAAGAAACGGATGCCATGGAATCCTTTCTGGGGGTAAGGCGAATCATTCACTTTGGCGAAGACGAACAAGGTATCAAGTTCTCAAAACTGAGAATGAACTAACAGGTTCAATCTGTACCAGCAATTGTTCGAAAGTTCGATGACGCTTAGCGATAAAATTGCTCGCTAAGCATGTGTTAAAATAATGGTGTGAAATTAGGCCACTGTGGATATCGGGAAATGTTTTAGTCAGTGAATAACCAAAGCGCATTCAGAAACCGAAAAAAATCAAGTAAAAAACTACTGTTTCCCTTAACTCCGCAATTTTTCCTGTAAATCCGTATGATGGAATGATGCAGTGTTTTCTATGCATGAATATATGAAAGCTTCATATCATACGAAAGAACAAAAAGGTGGAAAATCTAGACTGAAACTAAACAAAGTAACGAACAGATTGAGGTTTCCGAGTGTCCCCTAAAATAAAATGAATTAAAGAAAAAATGAAATGGTTTGGCCTCGAATTTGCTTGGTTAGAGAAAGGGGGATCACACCACAGAGAGGTATCTGTAACTCGAAAACGATCTGGCGACGGTGACTGAAATATATTTACGTGCACACGTCATACTGTAATGAAAACTACAGATTTTGACTGCTCAGATGAGAAAGTGGGCGATCGATTGTTCGTCGCGACCTTACTCCAGAAAACCCGTGATACGAAAGTCAATGCGCGCCATCGATCCCGATGAGTACGTTAGACTACCTGCCATGAAATGGGATCACTGGAGATAAGCACTACTCACAGAATTCACTCACGAAGGATATGCTGGAGGACCATTTTGCAGTTACCTCACTTTGGTTTGTCACCCAAACGTGGTATATTGATGTACATTTGCTCCGGCTGTTGGAGTTCCATTCGTCGAAGATAAATGGTGGAGAACCCCAACCGTCGTCCGGGAAAGTAACACCGCCAAAGCCTATAGGAGTTTGATGTGGTTCACCACTGAAAGTCTCTGGGTTGGGTTCAGCTGTAACACTTTCGGGGCCTAGCTGCCACGCCACCCGAAGGAATCACGAGGGCTGGGATGCTGCAAGGTTGCCCGAACCTAAACAGGGAAGTCAGCCAGCTCGCCCCCATCAAGAAACATAATGCGACTTAATACAATGCGTAAAAAAGTATATTTAAGATATTTCCTTGAAGGAAACTACACACATCCGTTCGACGTATTACGCCCGAAGCTTCATATTTTCCCTTCTGCTGGACAACAGAGACCCGTTTTGGTTTCCGATGGTTTCGACGGTAAGACCCGTAGAACAAATCGAATGGAACAGCCTACGGATGCCTCCAGTACTCTCTACATCCCCATTTTTTCGGTCTTTCGGATTCATCACGCTTTCTGGTCTGCATATTTCACCTGGGGTCAAATGCGTTAAACTGGGTCGACGTTGCGACCAGGAGGAATCCCTTATGGGGCATCCAGCAAACCTGGGTTCCTCTCAGAATCGCAGTGCTGGGATGGGGGTGGCCGTGAACGGGAGTGGATAACGCTTTAGATACTTGTCTCGCGTGATCGTTAACATTCAATATCGGGACTATCGGGAGTTAGAAAAGGTGGTTTTGAAAGGATTGTTTAATTTCTGGGTCCACCGTTGCCATGCCACCCGAAGGAAGTATGAGGGCTGGAATACTACCAGGTTGCCCAAGCCTAGACAAGAGCTAAAGGGGGTATGTGCACTTTGTGTGGGAGTGGAAAGTGCATTGAAAAGCAACAGTAGACAAGTGCACCGTCAGAGTCCACGTAGGTTGTTCAGAGACAGAGGCAGGTAGCGATCAACCCTTGCCACCGAAAATTGATACTAATGTGGTGTCTGAATTCGGGGTTAGTTCGTTCTCAAAGAACAAGTCACCACGCGCGTTTTAACCCCAAAACTTGGGAGTCAGAAGACTGTGTTGAGCTATCCTCTAATCGCTGGACCGTCTGTAGTTCCGATAATAACGGTGAAACCTGAAGTCAGGATATCCCCATACAGAGCATTCGATTGCAGAGTATTTTGCGTAAACAGCTAGGTTTCGAACTAACCATCAAGTCGTTTTATCGCATGTACATTGCATCAGGAAAAAATGATCTATATACATAGATGAACCCGGTATACCTCGCGAACGGTGGAAGAGCGAATGTCCATCACTTAAATTGGGGAGCTACTAATTGATAGGCTCGTGATCCGAATCAAATTTGGCCGAGTGACAAACTCTGGGCTTGCAGTCGAGTGAATGAAACTCACCGTAAATCAATAAGTCCCTATCACTCTGGCCGACAAGCATTGGCCATACTTTACGACGTAAATCATTGTCCATCAACCCGTAGGTCGTAATACAGTATTCGCGTAACCAACGTAGATCAACATCATGAGTTATGCCTTGTAATATATGTTCCCGCTTCAATTCCATCATTCCACGCCGTTCCATAGTGAAACTTTCGAGAAAGTCCAGTGACTTCCCAGGATGTCGAAAGTGCCAATGGCACCAAACAGACGCATCTGGACCAAGAGGCCATACCTAAGCAAATGATTGGTCAGGAAAGATCACGTGACAGGAATAGTTAGCGCCGCCCTTAGGTCAGTAACCACAGCGTGAAATACTCAGCAAATCAATCAAAATTATGATAAATGATCCGTCTCAGATTTAATTTGTCTGTGGTGAACCGTTTCGCACCCAATGAGCGCCAAAATTAATGACGTTTGTCGACAGCGGCTAGAGGCACAGTGCATTTTTCTGCAAAACCCCTGCGGGCGAAATAAAAACTTTAACGTCAAAATGTTGCACTTATTTGTATATATGCTCGAACTGAAAATCCCCTCATCTGCCTTCATTTTTTGCGATTTGTTTTATTCGATCTCTTTTGAAAATTATCGGCGCACATTCGGCTTTGAAATTCGTCTGCTATGGCTTTGGAAACGGCTTTCGTTGAGAAATTTGTGGGTGTATCGTTTTCATCCTTCACGGCATTCGAGAAGACCTTAAATGAACACATGAAGGATGACTTTTTGCTATTTGTGCGTTCATCCAGTAATCGAAGCACCAACGCTATTTTGCGTTACGAATGGGTGTACTACAAATGCAGCAGGCGCCCTCCAAGACAACGGAAAGCCGTGGAATCTGGAGAAGCTAATAGGCCGAGCGTATTTTCTAATAAAAAAGTACGCGAAGCAACAGCTGTCCAGTGCGGTTTTGTCTACGGAGGCAAAGGAACCAACTGGCAGTGACCTCTTATTTTCTGGAACACAACCACAAACTGTCAAAGTTTCTGTGCGATCGGCTTCCAGTCAATCGACGCCTAACCGAAGACTAGTTTGGCACATGCAATGCCCTGCTGAGATATGGAACGCCGTCATCTGAGGTGCGGCAGTTTGTGGCGGATGAATTCGGAAAGATTCTTACCACCAAGGATATACACAACTAACGCCGGAAGTGTCGACCGGCTATGTTGAGTAGGTGCCGCATGGTTGGCTTTTGATGTAGCAGATGATACGACTTCGGTCCTGGCAAAACTTCGGGAGACCGGACGCGTCCTTGTGTGTCAGGGAGAGGAAGGTCACTATAGCCACATATGTTTCTCCCGATGGCAGCAGATAGCGTTATTCCGACGCTTTCCCGACGTAGTGAATGTGGACGGGACACATGCAACAAACCGCCTTGGGTAAGTTTTTTTAAAGCATCTAATATTCGGTATTTAGATATAAACTATACACATTCTTGATAACGGACGGCATGGGAACCGGGCGTCCGGTTATGTATGCGTTCGTAGAGAGCGAGCAGTTTGCTCCCATGCGTAAACTGTTCGGCTTGTTCAAAGAAATGATGGGCGAAGCGTATCCGGTCAGGACCTTCGTAATGGACAAGTTGGCGGCGCAAATGCGTGCGGCAAGAGTAGTGTTCGGCTGTGACATTATGCTTTGCTACTTTCACGTCCGCAAAGCCATCAGGAAGCACGTATGTATCATTTAATATCCATGTATTTATGGTCACAGACACATTCTGCGAACAGCCGGCACATATTTCACCGCATGGCTCGCCTGGACAATGCTGTACAGTAGGTTTTATGTTCATCATATTACAAGCACACAGATTCCGACAAGATCTACAGCTTCTGCGTCGAACCGACCCCCGTTTTCTCTCCTATCTTACGGCTCGCTGGTTGTACATCACCCGAAAATGGGCCATACACGCACAGTCCGGAATGGTTCATTTCGGTAATGTGACCAACAACCGACTGGAGAATGCGAACGGGCGCCTTAAAGATCAGGTGCACCACTCCGACACGTTGGAGCATGCCATTCAAAAGGTGTCCCGGCACGCCGAGTGGCTCATGCGGGAGTTTGAGATGCATACGTCGTACCACTGCGACAGGCGGCAAATCCTGGAGGGTGACGCCTACGTTCTAAACGTAGTCTGTCGAATGACGACATATGCATGCTCTCTCGTTTTGAGACACTTGGGTCCGCGACCGCCGCGGCTGCCGTATGAAAGTGTCAGAACAAGCAAGGTGAGTTCGAGCTACGTATACTAACTTATAGTTTGTGGTGCAAAAACCCAGATGCTCCCAGATTGTCGACACATGTGCTGGAGAATGCACGTGCCCTTTCTATCGGGCGATGTGGCTCCCTTGCGTACACCTCTTCCCTGTATTTCGAGATCAGTCCGTTCCGAGCAGTAAGAACTATTCATAATTGACATTTTCTTAGCTTGCTTTCCAGTCCATCAACGATGGCTGTCGGATTACAACCTACCGGAAAAAGGTGTACCCCTTACACGTGTTCTCAAACCACCGCAGACAGCTTTCGACAGTCTCCATAAACAACTGAATCGGGTGATGGATAAGCTTCAGATGCTGGAACCCAGGACGGCCACCGCCATATTTAAGCGGTTGATTGTTCAGGGACAAATCCTGCTGCGTCAAGCCTCAAAGTCTGCAACCGACGACCTGCCGTTGGTGGTTGAGGAGCACGCACCTCCACCCAGATGGTGTCTGGGAACGCTGACTTGGTGTTCTGTGTGCTCTATGACCGGCCTACTAATACCAGTGACGGTGTGCAACCGACGACCTGCCGTTGGTGGTCGAGGATACAGCACCTCCACCCAGATGGTGTCTGGGAACGCTGACTTGGTGTTCTGTGTGCTCTATGACCGGCCTACTAATACCAGTGACCGCTGGTGTGCAACGGATCGCGTGTCATATCACGCATTACGTTGTTTCTATTAGAAGGAGCACTGCGAATAGGCTCGACCTATCCTTCTCCTGCACCGGTCTCCATTGAAGTTCCACAAGGCTCCGTTTTGGGACCAGGTCCTTATCTGATCTACGTCAGTTATCTTCAAGGTAGTCTTTCGAGTCTACACCTACTTTTTTGGACGACTTGAACTCGCGGGGTTAACATATTGGTGCCCTCAAAATGGGTGCATACGATGCAAATCAGTGGTCTTTGAATGGATACTTCCTTCTAAATGACGAAAAGTTGGCCCACGTGCCATTCGGAGACGACTCAGCAAACGCTATTATCTTGCATGGTACGAACGGATTAGAAGACGGGGGTAGCTATCAAAAAGAATTTAGGTATCTGGTTCTCTTCAAACATGTCCTCCTCGCTGCGCCGTTATAACAATAATAATAATGTTTATTCCCCAACTTGTGGGTGGCATACCTTCAGGCATGATCTTGCATTTACAGTCAGAATGGGGCATGTGACTGGGGAATTTGCGGCTAGTGGGGATTCCGCGAAATGGGGACAACGTTATGAACAGTGAGGAGTATTCGATGAAATAATGATAACAGGTTTCTTTTGCAACTTGTAGGGGACAGTGGGCATGAGGTCGGACTCATTCAAAGACTCAGTCGGTTGACATGAACTAAAACTGGAAAACCACTGCTGGCCAGGATTGACCTTGGGCGGTTGGGCAAATGGCCGGGGTCACGACGAAATGAAGTGGAGGTGAAGATGCGGTAATTCGAATTGGGAGAACATGGCAAGTTGAGTCTCAAAAAAATGGCGCAATCTGAGAACAAGCAGACTCACTGGTTGCACTGTTGTAGGAAAGTTAAGTGCTGTGGTTAGGTTGGATGAGGACACAAAGGTGGCTTGATTCGAACGAGAAGTCCAACATGTTGGAATGAATGTCGTGGTGGTAGTTGGGGTCAATGAATCGCATAGGCAGGTGGGCTCGTTTGGGAGGAGGAATGGAACAGTTGCGGGTGTGCTATGAAACTGAGTATGGTAGTGTTGTGCCATCACTGGCCTGACATGCTTCAGTTTTTAAACAGCCCCGTGATGGACGTCGCATTTGAGATCATTCAGCTGGGGTATGTAGTTCACTGGGCAGCGGTATTCATTTCAGCCTGGTCAGGGGGACGAGGTGGAACAAGGCCGATATGGGATTGTAGGGCATTTTGTGGTCCGCTTGGCGATCCCGGAGTTGTAGATCATAGGCCAGGTGGAGTGGGTATCAGCTAAACAGATCGTCCAAAACGGGTACTTCCGAAGTTCAAAGCTTGGGTAGATGATGGGATGGAAGGAGATTTGTAAAACTTTGTGAATTTGTGGGGAGATACAATGGGATAATATGCACTAATAAACACAGGGGAAAAACCTTGACGCCTGCTGTAATTAGGGTGATGGCAAGTGATCATATGGAGTAGGAAAGAGATAAATTTGTACTTAGGAGGCTAGCGACCAAGGGTTGAGTTTGCTAACGTACGATATTACATTGCAAGGGGTCTAGTAAAAGCCGATAAAAGCGCGTAGAGGTATGGTATCGAATCAGATGCATAAAGGCTGGCGGGAGTGGACATCCAAAATAGCTGGCTGATCGGGTGTTTATTACATGAGAGAAAGTATGTGCAGGAGAAATAGTCACTAGTCCCCGGAGCACTGCTATAAGCTCTAATCTGTAGATGGTGCATAGCAAGTATCTACCACTAAGCAGTGTCTATCACTGGGAGCGGTGAGTAGATGTATTCTCTGTTTGGATGACGAAATGGGCTTTTGTGCGGTGCAGCATCTGTTGTGACGAAGGTAGATACCGCTATGCTCGCCGATGTAGACCGTGGGCACTTGCAGAGCATCTTTGGGCTATCCCAAGTGAACTTTTTTTAAATTTTTTTCACAGATGAAAGGCCAGTTTATTCATCTGTGGTTTTTAGGCATTGCCAGATGCATGACTGAACCGAGGCGAGCCCAACAACAGGAACGAACAGAAGTCAGCATTACTTTTTTGATTTCCCGAATTTAAAGGTCAGACTTGGAACCACCGGCGATGAGCGATGCACCCATGCTACTGGAAGGGTGGCGGGTATCATGGTTGCAACGTAACAGGGCGACCCTCCCTGCAGGGCGCTTCCGTTTACCACAAGAGGTTTTCTTCTCTCGTGGATGCCACCAGATCTGCTAGGTGGAAAACCATCCAAGCAGTCATAAGTGCGGTTTGCCCATTAATAAATACTCCAGCTACCATTTTTTGGTCGGAGGAAAGTAAGGCCAGTAAAGACAGCTCGGTCATTTCGA